AGCAAAGTCCTGCCATCCCACTGAGCCTTGGTTTCCCCATCTGTAAAAGCCTTGTTAGCCTCCCAGTCACAGTAAAGCTTTCTGAGAATATGACCTTTGCTCTTCTCTCCCCATGGGGCAGGTATGCATAGCCCATCGATGCCAGCCCGTGGATCTCCTGGGAGCACAGGAATGTCGGAGCAAGTGCCATGGGCATGGGGTGAGCTGGGATGGGGGAAATGGAAGGGGAGCAGAGAGCCTGAGGATGATGGGCTTTGGACAGACATACCTGGGCTCTGACCCTTGCTCTATTACTTCCTGGTGTGTGACCTGGGGCAGGTTATTAACCTCCCTGAGCTCAGTTCCCTTATCTATCCAAGGGACATAATAAAAGTACCTACTTCTTGGGGTATATGAAACAAGTATGGGCTGCGTGGGGTGGCTCACATCTATAATCCTAGCACTCTAGGAGGCCGTGACTGGGGGATTGCTTGAGGTCAGGAGTTCAAGACCAACCTGGGCAAAATCAAGACCTTGTCTCTACTAAAAATAGAAAAAATTAGCCCAGCAACTGAAATTAGAAACAAAACATTAGTTGGAGGGGACTACATGCCTGTAGTCCCAGCTATTCGGGAGGCTGAGGCAGGAGCATTGCTTGAGCCCAGGAGTTTGAGGTTGCTGTGAGCTAGGCTAATGCCACGGCACTCTAGCCCAGGCAATAGAGCAAGACTCTGTCTCAAAAAAGAAAAGAAAAAAAGAAAAATAAAATAAAAGAAAAAGATGATGCGTATGAAAGCTTCTAGCACAGTGTCCATCATATAGAAAGGGCTCAGTGTTAATTTGATCTAATTTCCTCTGGCACAGAAGATACCCTGCCTCCAGCGCTCTGGTTCTCTCTACCCATCATCCCCAGCACAACTGAGATATTGATAAGCTGGAGACAGAGAAGTAGTCCCAGAGTACAGAGACTCCCCCCCATTTTGGGGGGAGTGATGGGGTATCGCTATGTTGCCCAGGCTGGTCTCGAACTCCTGGGCTCAAGTGATCCTCCTCCCTTGGCCTCCCAAGTACAGAGCTTCTCATTGCTTGCCTTGTGCCTCCTAGGTCTGTGACAGCAATAGGCACTGCCACTGTGAGAAGGGCTGGGCGCCCCCTGACTGCACCACCCAGCTCAGAGGTAGCATGGGGTGGGGCAGGGGCAGCTGGGAGGGCAGAGCAGCTCATTCCTTACCTTTCCCCCTTGGCCCTCTTTTTCTGACCCTTTTGCTTTCTCTGATCACTGGGCTTCACTCCCTGCCCTCTGCTCCTTCATGGGTATAGAGCTCTTAACCCTGCCACCTTTAAACCTGACCTCACCCCACAGCAAACAGTTCCCTGACCACAGGGCTGATCCTTAGCCTCCTGTTGTTACTGGTCCTGGTGCTGCTTGGTGCCAGCTACTGGTACCGTGGCCGCCTACGCCAGCAACTCTGCCAGCTCAAGGGACCCAGCTGCCAATACAGGTATGAGCATCGTCTCCCTGCTACCAATTCCTTCAGCTAGGGACAGTCCAAAGCCTGCTCTCACCTTTGCAGCCCCTGCCGCGCAGTTCTGAGCCCCAACCCCCTTGGACCCTGAGCTTGCTGACTGCCACACCCCACACACCTCTCTTCCATACATGCACCCCATAACTCTTCACCTCATATGTCAACCTCTCACGGGGCAGCTGGGATGCTAGGACCATTTCTCCACAGGAGCCCCTGTGCTGGATAAGTGGGGCCCTTCCTCAGGCTGGTCAACTGCCCCCACCCCTGATTTGACCTAAACCACACACAGGCTCCTCTTCAAGGGGCTGTATAGGGTTAACCTCACTCAAGGATGGCATACAGTTGGAGAACAGAGTCTGAGGCTGGGCTCTCTCCCTCCTTGACTTTCCTCATGCTCAGGGCAGCCCAATCTGGTCCTCCTGAACGGCCAGGACCCCCACAGAGGGCCCTGCTGATGCCAGGCACTAAGGTGAGTCCTGGATGCCAGAGGAAAGGGGCTCCACCTTGGCCTGGCATCCAGCTTGGGCCCCAGGGGGTGGGCATTGAAGGCTCTAGACTCAGAGAAAAGCTAGCATTGCCTCCAGGTCAGCCATAGAAGTCGGGGCTAGCCCTTCCCTGGCTGCAGGCAGAGAAGCAGAGTGCAGACTGAAGTGGGAGGGACAGCTAGAGAAGGGGCTGCCAGCCCCTTCTGGCTCTGTCAGCTGGCCAAGCTGGTGGCTTTGAGAGGTGGGTCTGTCTGTGCCCCCAGCAGTGACCCCTGGAGGGTAGAAGGGGGGTGGTGCTCAGAATGGCCTTCAGTGTGCCAGAACCAGATGAGGCCCAGGTCACCATGTGTAGAAGGGCTGGTGAGTGCCCCTGCCCTGAGCCCTCTGGGTCTGATGACAGGCATATGTGCGTGTGGGTGGTCTGCATGCCCCCACCACCACTTGTTACCCCTGCATGCAGCTAAATAACTGCATGCACAGCACCTCCTGCCCCTGGGACCCTGACTGTCCTCCCTGGGCACTAACCCTTCTCTGCCCACATCTGTCTCTCTGCTTCCCCCACCCTGTGCCTGTCTGCTCCTCCTGCTCTCTTGGCAGGCTACTGTTCTCGGCTTCCCGGCACCCCCCTCTAGGCCGCTGCCGCCTGACCCTGTGCCTAAGAGACTCCAGGTAAATCTGGGCCAGGCTCTGCCCTGGCCCAGGGCAGGTGGGAGGCTTGGTGCCCAACTGCAGTTCTCATCCCTGCTCCCTGTCAGTGGTGCTCTTCATTAGGTGACCAGGGTGCCCCTCAGCGTTCAGACACTCTGAGCCCCAGAAGCAGCAAAGGGTGAGCCTCCTGCCTTGGCTTCTACCACCATCTGGTGGTCAGTGGCGGGACTGCAGCTGGCCAGGGACTCCAAGGTTGACCCACACCTTCCTCCCCTGAGACATCCGCTGGCATGCCCCCAAGCCCTCTGCGCATGCCCCCATTCTCTCCTGCCCCACTGGCTGACTTTGCATGTTGACCTGAATCCCTCCAGGGAACTTCTGCATGCCCACTGCCCCTGGCTGTGCTCTCATAGCCACTGCCCCTCTCTCTGTTCAGGCTGAGCTCGTTGACCGACCCAATCCCCCCACCCGCCCTCTGCCCGCTGACCCGGTGGTGAGGAGCCCGAAGGTAACAGTGGGGGGAGAGAAAGGCACAGCCTCTCCCCCCACCTAGGGCTGTGGTGCTGGTAGTCGTGGCGGTGGTGGCCGTGGCAAGATTGCCCCTCAGTGCCCAAGGGCACATACCCCGGTGGTGCCTTTAATGGTGACAGGTTTGTTTGGAGACACGAGTGATCTTTGGTGCTGTCCCCAAGCTGGTGTTTCCCAGCACCAGTGCAACGGGGGTGGGCGACATGACATCCCTGGGGCCCACGCCAACCTCCTCCCTTCTCTCCCTCAGTCTCAGGGGCCTGCCAAGCCCCCACCCCCGAGGAAACCACTGCCTACCAACCCTCAGGGCCGGCGCCCATCCAGCGACCTGCCCAGCCCAGGAGCTGGAATCCCGCCGCTAGTGGCACCCTCCAGGTAGGCGAGGAAGAGAGCTGCGGATAGGTGGGCGGAGTGAGTGATCTGGGGCAAGGGGACCTCTGACCCTACTTCTCGGCTTCCCGCACTCCAGGCCAGCGCCACCACCCCCAGCAGTGTTTTCGCTCTACCTCTGACATATCCTAAGGCCTCCAAACCGGACTTAGGACTTCAAGAGGCGGACTTGCCCCCTGGAAAACCCTGCCATGACTGAAGGAGCCGGAGCCTGGACTGGACGCAACGGAATGGGTGCCTTAAGGCACCAGGCACAAGCTGTCAAGCAGGACTCTGGGGACCTGCCTGCGTTGTTGCAGCCAGGGGTTGGGGAGGGGCTGGGGGCTGGACAGGGTTGAGGGAGATGCGCACAGCCTGTCTCTGCTCAGCCGCAATAAACGTGAGATCTTGGGAGCGTGCCTTGGAGCTTGTCTGCTGCTGGAAGTGGGTCGCCCCTGCTGCGGTTCCAGGTCTGGCCGCCAGGAGATGCTGCCGCCTCGGACGCGGGCGGGAGTCCCACAATGGGTCAGCGCGTGTGTCCCGGGGATGCTCCTGGCTTTTTTCTGCCCAGACTGGGAAGGCTCTCAGCGCAATCCTGTATCACGGGGAATTGTCCACCCGTTGTCACCCCCAGTCTCCAAGTCCTCGCCCCCATCGCCGTGCGGCCCCCAGGGGCGGCTATCGGAAAAAACCCGCCAAGCTGTCGGACCCCAGTCTCCACCCTCTGACCGGTGGCTGGGAAAAATGGATCTGGCTGACGTTCTTAGAGTCCCGGAGCCAGGACCGAGCGGGACAGCGGCTCCCACGATCCCAAGGCCGCGCACCTGCCTCCTCCCCCTCGCCTGCCCCCCCCCCAGGGCTCCGGAACAAAGGCGCTTTGTACAGGCCGCAACCACCTCATTACTTCGGCTCCGGGAATGGGGCCGCGTGGGACCCCAGCACAGAATGAAGGTGTGGGGTGCAAAGAGACAGACGCCAACCCCAGGGTAGGCATCTAGCGTGCCACTTAAGGCTCTGTACGGAAAGGCGGGTGTCCCAGAAGGTGCGCTGTCCCTTCCCCACGTACTATCTCTAGATGTGCAAAGAAAAGGGAGCAATGTATGAAGGTGGCTGGACTGGCTTCGTGGATCCTCGCCCTCACTATCCTACCTGGGCAAAGGTTGTGTGCCCCTATTTAAAATCCTCAAAATTTCGAATAAGGCTTTCTACCCCGTACTAAGACAGACACGAAAGACACGACCTCCTAAAAACACTTAGTGGAACACCTCCTTGCTCCCCGCCCCCTCGCAGTGCGGCGCGGCCTCCGCAGAAGCCTGGGCTAACCTGGCGCGCGCCGCGGCGCACAGAGGGTTAACCCGAGCGGGCGCCGAGTGGAAAGGAGGAGGTGCGCTCCCATTGGTGAAAAGTTATCCAGGGGCTGGGCCTTTCAGCCTCCGCACCCACCCCCCTGCCCGCAACCCCCTCCTCACTTTGTACCTCTCTCGCCCCGACTGCGAAGCGGGCCGGGACCGACCGGGCCAGACCAGACCGGACCCCGGGGGCGATGCGGCTGCTGCCCCTGCTGCGGACTGTCCTCTGGGCCGCATTCCTCGGCTCCCCTCTGCGCGGGGGCTCCGGCGTTCGCCACGTTGTCTACTGGAACTCCAGTAACCCCAGGTAGCCGGGCCGAACCGGGCGAGCGCTAAGCCAAGTCTGCGCGCTCCCGGGAGGTGCGCGCGCCCGCCACTCGCGCTTTGCGCGGCGCCGCCTGAACTCGGCCGCGCGCCGGGGCTCCTTTGTTTGAGCCGGCGGGGGAGGGGGGAGGGGCGAGGCGCGCCCCGGGTCTACCCCCAGCCCACACGTGTTGGGGAGCGAGCGGAGAACCCCAGCCCAGAAGGCTGTCTATGGGGTCTTGGAGCATGGAGCTGGGGGGCCTTTGCCCGCACTCCGGGCTCCGCCCCCCTCGCTTCGCTCCGGATGATCCCCAGCATCCCGCCGGCCGGAGCTGGGGAGACGGACTTGAGAACCGAGGAGGGGGCTTTTACTCTGCTGAAAGAGCGTGGGTTACTCTCTCTCCTGTCCTCTGGGCCTCCTGTCTGGCTCTCGTTCTCTCACCTGGTCTCCTTTGCTATCTCTGATTTCATCTCGGTCTTTATTGGTCCTATTTCTGTCCTGGCCCTGCCCTTCTAGATGAATCACCTTTGGGCAAGTCGTTTGACCTCCCTAACCTCATTTATCTCATCTGTAAAATGGGCTAGTAACACCTAGTATTCTAGGAAGCCAGGCGGGCTAACTAAGGTCATATATGTGAAAGAGGTGCAGGCCATGTAGATAAAAACTATAATTTCTTTCTCTCTCGTGAGCTGTCTACCTTTGAACCTCGGTTTTGTTTTTGTTTTTTTTGTTTTTTTTACTATTTCCATCCTCCTCCCCAAATCTCCGTCTCTTCCGTTTCCCACCTGTTTCCCTTTCTGATTTTCTACTTGAGACAATCTGTGGCTCTGTTCATTTGTTCACTCACTAACATTTGTTAAGCACATACTGTGTGCCCCAACCTGTGCTAGGCTGCTGGGGATTAGGGAGAGGAGAAGACCAAGACCCTGCCCTCCAGGAGTTCACAGACTGGGAGCACAGGCCTAAAGACAGGTCATTAGAATACCAATGCCCAGTGATAAGAGCTCTTGTAGTCTTTGGACTTTGAATTCCTCCATCTCTGTTACAGACCAAAGCCTCTGAATCACTTGGAGGACCTGTTAAAAATTCAGTTTCCTAGCCCCTAACCCTGAGGTTTCTAATTCATTCATTCAATCCTCAAATATTGATTGAGCGCTGTCTTGTGCAGGGCATCTTTCCAGGCACTGGGGATGCGGTAGAACAAAATGTACAATGGCCCTGTCCTTGCTCAGCTTATGTTCTAATAGGTCTGGGCTCAGCCCCGGAATTTTTAATTTTTTATTTATTTTTATTTTTATTTCTTTGAGACAGAATCTCACTCTGTTCCCCAGTCTAGAGTGCAGTGGTGTCATCATAGCTCACTGCAGCCTCAGACTCCTGGGCTCAAGCGATCCTCCTGCCTCAGCCTCCCGAGTAGCTGGGACTACTGGCATGAACCGCCATGCACAGCTGATTTTTCTATATTTTGTAGAGACAAGGTCTCGAAGTCTTGCTCAGGCTGGTCTCAAACTCCTGGCCTCAAGTGATCCTCCCACCTAAGCCTTCCAAAGTGCTAGGATTACAGGAATCTTCATTTCTAATCAGAACTCCTGATACAGGTGGTCTGAGGGACAATTGGAGACCTTCAATAAGTCAAGCTTTGCTCTGTGTATGGTGGGGGAATGACTCATATAGTATTTAGCACTGTGGTGGGCAGCCTGTCATAGCCCTTCCCACCTGTGCTGGCTCCCCCAGGCAGCTCCCGAGGTGGTTGGGGAAGGGATTCCTGCGGAGGCTGAAGACTGGGTAGTATGTGGACCCGCCCCATGGCTGGCATTCCCTTCTCCTGGCCAAAAAAGGGAGGTACCCAGTACTGACTACCTCTTTTTTTTTTTTTTAAACCATAGCATTCTTTTCCCTATTGGACTGAGGTCTAAAGGGCAGGCTTCCTCTCTCTGTGTCTGTTATTGAGGCTACTGTTCCCAGTCCCCATCTCTATCTGTATGTCTGTAACTGCACTGTGGGCCATATCTGTACCCGCTGCCTCTGCCCAGCTTCTTCACAGCATCCATCCACCTAGCGTTTATCAAGCCTGGTGCTGTACCACACCCAGTGTCTGGCTTGCAAGGTGTGTGGCAGCTCCAGCCTGAACAGTAGGGTGTGGTGACCAGCCTTCTCACATTTAAGGCATGTGGTCATGGGCGCTGCAGTCCCAACCCTCTCTGAACCTGTGAATCGATCATCTCATCCATTTCTCGCACTCTCTTTGTCTCTCAGGAGCTGTCGTTCTGGGGAACTCAGGCCTCACTGAGCTGCTCCATCTCCAGTGGGTGGAGGAGAGGCTGGCAGGGACCTCTGAGAAGGGGGATCTCTGCCCCCCTTGCCCAGCGTGCTCAGCCCACCCCTGCCTTATGCCCGCAGGCTGCTTCGAGGAGATGCTGTGGTGGAGCTGGGCCTCAACGATTACCTAGACATTTTCTGCCCCCACTATGAAGGCCCAGGCCCCCCCGAGGGGCCCGAGACATTTACATTATACATGGTGGACTGGCCAGGCTACGAGGCCTGCCAGGCGAAGGGGCCGGGTGCCTTCAAGCGCTGGGTGTGCTCCCTCCCCTTCGCCCATGTTCAGTTCTCAGAGAAGATTCAGCGCTTCACACCCTTCTCCCTTGGCTTCGAGTTCTTGCCTGGAGAGACTTACTACTACATCTGTGAGTGACAAAGGCACGCTGGATACCTCCTGGGGAAGGTGGGGAGGTGTGGGGCTCCCTGCCATTGCCACCGGTCAAGGCACAGAGCCTGGGGCGGGGGAAGGAGAGGCCTGTGGGGGCAAGGGGGCTGTTCCCAGGACTGAAGAGGGCAACATCTTGAGCTCTATAGAGAGGAGGGGCTGGGGAAAGGGGCTGGGGGGCAGGAGGAGCATGGGTGGGGCCAGGTACATGAGTGTGGCCCCAGAGTAAGGAAAAGCTTTCCAGGGACCTGGAGAGAAGAGAAGCTGGAAGGTCTGAAACAGAGTCTGAGGCATACAGAGGGGTCACTCCCTGTGCCAACTTCTTCCTCCCAATTTCCCACCATGCAGCGGTGCCAACTCCAGAGAGTCCTGGGCAGTGCTTGAGGCTCCAGGTGTCTGTCTGCTGCAAGGAGAGCAGTAAGTGGTTTGGGGCATGGGAGCAACCCTGCTGACAAGCGTGGGCCCTTGGGAAAGAGAGTGGAGAATCTAGGAGCATCAGGCTCTCAGGGGTCCAGGTGGGTCAAGCTGGGGCCTATTCCCCATTTAGCCTTGTGGGAGCTTCCACTGTTCCCCTTTTTAATCTGGGACAAGGGAATGGGGTATCCCAGGGGCAAGGCCCTTCAAGGCTTCAGCTGGGCTGGTTGTCTCTGGTGGCAACTTGGGGGAGACTTGGAAGGTGGGACTCAGAAAGGATGAGGTAGTGGACCGTGGGAAGGGAGCAGCTGGTTTGGGAGCCCCTGGATGGGACTGGAGGGAACAGCTCACGGGAAGCGCAGGAAGAAGGCTGCTGAAGAAGTAAAGGGACCCATCAGTGCGACCCCCTCCCCCTCACAGAGTCCGAGTCAGCCCATCCTGTTGGGAACCCTGGAGAGAGTGGCACATCAGGGTGGCGAGGGGGGGACACTCCCAGCCCCCTCTGTCTCTTGCTGTTGCTGCTGCTCCTGATTCTTCGTCTCCTGAGAATCCTGTGAGCCAAGCGGACCCTCCCTGCCACCCCAAGAAGCCAGAGCCCTCCCAAGATCTCCCAGAGGAGGAGGGATCCCTGCCACCTGCGCTGGGGGTGCCAATCCAGATAAGATGGAGCATCGGTGGGGGAGGTCAGAGGGTCTGAGGTGACCCTTGCAAGTGCTTGCCCCCTCATCACAGGCTAAAGAGGAGCTGCAGACAGCCCTGGACACCCTGGAGCAGAGAAAAGACAAACATGGGGGCTTTGTAGGCTGTTTGGATGGTCTCGTCCCATCCCAGGAAGACTGGGATTTGGTGGGATCAAATCCTTGAGCCAACTGGGGGCCAAGGCTGAAGACCTGGGGACAGGTGGATTGCTGGACCAAGACAAAGAAGAAGCCCTACCATCTGTGCCCTGTGGACCTCTTCCCTGGGGCAGCACCTTGCCCTCCCAGGGGGTCACTCACTTGTCTTCTGTGAAGACGGACTTGTCATGAGGTTGAATTTCATGCCAATTTGTATTTTTATAAGTGTCTATACCAAACCTTCAATAAACCACCCATCTTCTTGTTGCCCTTCCCAAACTACGGGCCACTGGCTCCTTCCCTGATACCAGGACTCCCTGCAGCCTGTGCTCTCAGCTCAGCTTGGCCTGACCTCTATACCAGCTGTGCCCAGGCCATCCATGCCAGGCCTCAGTGGGTACCCCTCTGGGCAGCGTGGGGTGGGTGCCAGCAGCAGCTGTGGAGCTTGGCACCCTCTCTTACCTCCCCAGCCGGCTTCCTGTGCTGAGGAGGGGCAGATGCTCCTGACAGCCCACCCACTTGGGGCACTGCCCAAGCCCCGGCGGCACCAAGCAGGGCACTGGGGCAAAAGCAAGGGGCAGGAGACAGACAGCACCTGGGTTTCAGAATGCCTGGGTCCCTGAGAGCTGGGCATCCCTCCCTCTCCCCAAGGACACTCTGGGCGGTGCCTGGCCTAGAACTGGGAAGGTGGGGTCAGATCAAAGCCTCCTTCCCCAGCGGCCTCTTTGTTCTTCGCTTTTATAAGGAGGAGGGGGTGGGGCAGAGGAGGGAGGGCCCCCTTTGCTCTCAGCCCACACTCTTCCACCTCTGGCGGGGGAGGCTATGGTCGCCCCCAGCCCAACCGAGGCCCTCTCTCTGAACGGTGTCTTGGGTGGAGCCAGGGTAAGGGGCGCCCCTTCCCCTGCAGCTGTGCTCTACCCGCCCCAGTGCCCCGCAGCCTCCACTGGCACGGTGCCGGCCCGCCTGGCACCCAGCCAGCGATCGATAGGTGGATGTTGTGCTGATTAGCTCGGCCGGCTGCGGCAGCGAAAGGCAGCGTGTGAACACGGGTGGGGTGGGGGGCTGGAGGTCCAGAGACGGACACTGAGGTGCTGGAGTTTGCGAACCCCTCCCCCACTCCCTCGCGCACCTAGATCAGACCCTGGTCCCTCTCGGAGGGGGTGGGGCCCTCTCCCCCACCACCGTGCACCGACTTCATTCGGTCGTCACCATTCATGTTAATTCTATTGCTCTGGCTGAGGCCTCGGGTGGAGAGTAGTACCGCGCAGAGCAGACTCGAGTCCATCCCCTCCCCCATTGGAGGCCACTTTGAGAAAATACCTTTGTAGGTGCGTTTGCCAATGTATTCATGTGTTAGGGCCCTCACCCCAAACTTCGATCTTTACAAGTGCGAGGGGCTGGGGCGCGGAGGAGAGGGTGGAGTCAGCTGACGGAGGAGCTGTGGGCTAGGTCTAATAGTCCTGGGTTCGAGTTCCGTCTCTATTGTCATCCAGGAGAGCATCCTATGTTGCCATGGAAACCGACTTAGCTGCTACCTCTGTCCCTCCCCAGTGAAAGCTTATAGGCGGGGCAGAGCGGGGGCGACTGGTTAGCAGCCCCTGCCCTGTATTCAGAACTGTGGGGGTCTCACCCTGCTCCCAGCGGCCCCAGGCACTCCCTCTTCGCGGACCAAGGCGGGCGCGCTCGCTCCCGCGTCTGGGGCCGGCGCGCGGATCCGCGGCTGATAAGAACGCATGTGCGAGAGAGACACTGGGCCCAGTCGGCTTTCCCCGCACGCAGACTCCCGCCCTCGCGGCCGACGCACACACTTGACACAGACACACGCCCCTGCCCGCCGCCCGGCCCTCTGCAGGTGTGAGGGCGGATGCCTCCGAGACTGCGGGAGCTGGGCTAGGGGGTCGCAAACTCAGGCCCGCCCAGCCCAGGCGCTCAGGCCAAGCCTACCCTCCCTACACTCACTTTCCTCATAGCCTGGGCCCTGCGCGGGCGGCTGATTCAGTCCCGGGGTGCGTCCCCACCGAGAGCCAGGGCTGAGTCCGCTCATGGGGCCGAGACGGGCTGAAGGCGCTGGGAGGTTTTCCGGGCACCCGGCCCTACCCACGAGAAGTCCTCGAGGCGTGTTCCCGGGCGCGGTTCCAGAAGGCTGGGCAGGCCTGCAAGTTTTGGGGCGTCACCAATCTCCCCTAAACTCAGCGGCGTTAGGCTGCAGAGGGTGGGGCTCTCAATTTGCTGGGCCTGCCCTTGTCTTTCCCAAACAGATGCGAAAACTCCACTCATCTTTACCTTGCCCTATCTCCCTGTTTGAGAGCCCCAGAGCCCAAGTCTCTGGGACCCGACCAGGATCCTGCTCCGCACTTCGTGGGGTTGCATGTAGCCCTTTCCCCCTCCAGACTAAACCCCGAAGTTTTGTTCTTTTTCTGTGATCGCTCCTTTTTTCTCCGTCTTCCCTTTTATTAATATTAGTTCCTTCCTTCCTTTCCTTATTCACTCAGCACATTGTGAGCTCCCAGCCTGCCCTTTTTTCAGTTGGCCACATTTACTGGGGTCGTCGGGGGATCCCCAAAGGTGACGCTGTTGAAAAGGGTGCACTGTGGCCTCCACGCAGCAAATAGAAGCCCGGGCCTGGGGCATGAGGTCATCAGCGGTGATGCCCATTGGTTCAGGCCTGGAAGTGAGGAGGGGTCCCCATAGCAACCGAGGGTGCGTCCAGCAAGTAACTTAGAGAGCGGAGTTTGCTTGAGACGCTGGGGCAATTTGGGTGGGTGCTTGGGGTGGAGCTCAGCTTTTCAGGTCCTGCAGCCCTAGCCCAACCAAGCTCTTATCTTTCTTGAGATTCTCTTTCTCACTCCAAGTAACGGTCAGCGCCGCTTAACCTAGAAAGAGTAGGAGGGAGTTATTGGCGACAGCGTTGGGGTCCTGCGTGCAGGGCTGCTGCCACCGGGAATGTCAATGCTGAGATCCTTGTGTTCATCTGCATATCGTCTGCATCTCATTTGCATTCTCTTCATTTAAGGTCAAATTGGGCAGACATCTCCACATCCCCAGCCCTGTCTCTTGTCTGTATCCGGAATCTATCGCTGAGTGGCTCTCTAATCTATCTCTCAGTTGTCCAATTCCATACCCCCCTCCTCCCATTCTCCAGTGTCTCCTGGGGATGGGAGGGGGCAAAGCCAGCTAAAGGAGAAAGGAGTATGCTCTCCCTCTGGATGTTTGGTGACAGATGGGGAGTGCTGGTCTGTACTGCCTGGAGACTAAATTGGCAAAGCGAGTTGTGGGGGGAGGTGCCCCGGCTGGGCTGAGGGTCTCCAGGGCCAAATCACCCACATGCCTGGTGGGGTGCTGGAACTAGGGATGCCTGGTTCCAGCAAGGGGCAGGCCTGCCCACCTGTCTGGTGCCAAGGCAACTTCCTTCCTCCAATTAAACACTAATGAGGTGTCATTAACCCTTGCCTTGCCTGCCAACCATCAGGTGGAACTCAAATTCATGGTCTCATACTTGCGTGGAGAGGGAGAAAGGGGGGCCTTTGAGGAAGCTGAGAGGCAGTGAGGTCAGGGGACCAGGATACAAGAAGGCAGGGCAAGAAGCATGAGTGACATGCATTGGTCACCCTCTATGAGCTTCTGAGGGGTTCTAGGAATGGGTGTCCCACTGTCAGAACACACTTATTCTTTTGTTCCTTGATTCAATGATTATTTATTAAGCACCTCACCTAATCCTGCTAACTAAATACCATGCTGCATGTTAGATGCTGGGGATACACACTTGCATAAGACAAGATCCCTTCCCTTAAGGAATCTTCAGATTACCCAAGGAGACAGACTGGCCAATGAGTAATTATAATGCCAGATATAAATGCTAATATAGAGCTATGCACAGAGTGCTATGAGAACACAGGAAAAATGGCTTTGGTTCTGAAGGACAAAGTTTATGGCAGAGAAGGGATGTATAGAACCAATGATGTTTATGTGTTTGACACAGTGTGGGTCCATGTTTAGATGTGTTTTCAGGACTGCTGGTTTCTGCCCTTGCAGAGCTGCACATTTTGCATCTGTATGTATGTGTGTGATTGTGTATGTGTTTTGTCTGGATCTCCGTGTGTCTGGAATCCCTTCTCCTGAACACACATTGTGGTTTTATTACAGATCGATGTTTGCCGTGAAGCTCTTGCACAGATTGGCCTGAACCTGCCCAGCCCAGGGGAGGGGAAGTGGAGAACCGATTTTGGCTCCTTGGGAAAGGGTGGGCAGGCACTATCTTCACACCTGGGCGCCCAGACCCCTGGCTCCCCATGTAGCAGCAGGCAGGCCAAAGGAAGCAAAGGATTGGTGCCAGGGCTTTAGTAAGACATACCCAGGCCATAGTCCCTTCTGCCCCTGACTCCTCAGAGGAGACTTGGGGGTTACAGACACCACTCCCCACCAAGATGTCAGGCCCCCTCCCCCAACCTGTTCCTCTTATGTCTGCGGAGGAGCAGGCCAGCTCAGACCTGTCTGCTGGCTCCCTCCCGCAGGGAGCGGATCCTTTCCAGGGGACACGAGAGGGCTGGGGAATGCTGGGCCTACTGAGAGGCTGCCAGATACTCCGCCCTGGCCCTCTCCATCCTGGATTCTCCCCACCCACTCTGGGGTGCCACTTTTCTGGTTTTTGCCCAGACATAACCATGTTTGCCAAGGAAGCCCTCAGCCACTAGGGAGAGAACTCTGGCAGCGAAGACTGGTGGGGCGTGGGGGTGATGCTACTCAGAGACCTCCACTCCAGTTCCCTCTGTCTCCTTGCAGCCACTTTCTAGAAAGCTAAATTTTGGCAAAAGTCTAGATCTAGGGAGAGTTTTTTGGGGTTAAGGAGAGGCTCTGGGGTCTGAGGAGATGGTGACGGACTCCTTCGTCCACACTGTCAAGGATGGGGACTTCTTTTTTTGACTGTAACTTCCTCTTCCCTTCATTCCATCTAATCTTTTCCTACCCATTCCCTACCCTCTATGCCCTAGGTCACCTCTGTCACTATGACAGCTATTAGGGAAGCTAGGAAATAAGAGAGAACAAATGGAAAAGAGAGTCTGGGGCTGGTCTAGGTGGAAAGACCTCAGGGGATAACCTCTTAATAATGAAAAATCCTGCATTAACCAAGCACGTCTTGGATCCTAAACACTGTGCTAAATGCTTCCCAGACATTACAGGCCTTAATCCTCATAACAGCCAACTCCTCAAGGTAGGGTATCATTATCCCCATTTTACAGGTGAGGAAGCAGTCCCAGGGAAGTCAAGTAACTAGCGCAGCC